TCTTACATTAAAATAATATTTAAGAATAGGAGGATATGAGATTAAGGTTTGATTGAGTTTCTAGTAAGATCAAAACTTAAGCACATACTTTTCTTTCAAATAATTGACAACATGCTCAAAATCTTCTCTACAATATTCTCGTTTCATATCAGCAAGAACCTGATCACTTCCTGATTGAACAGGAACGTGTAGGAAGGCATAAACTCGTGAATGGTTCATTATTTTTGAAATTTCCTCCAAGTGCTCTAAAATGTAAGGTGGATTCGTCATGCCCAATCGTAAACGACATCCTTCTGGGATTACTTCTACCAACTGCCATAATAGTTCTGGTAAACTTGTGCCTATATCACGTCCGTATGTTCCTTTAGGAAAACGTATATACTTTTCAAGTAAATTTTCTCTTACAGATTGTTTTCATTCCTTACCTGTATCTTCTGATGTTAACCATATTTCAACAACACCTTCACTAAAAGCTTGCTTTGCTCTAGTAACAATTTCCTCTGGAGGATAACTGCCCAGGTCTCCTCGTGCATGTTTTGTTTTACAATAAGTACACTGATTCAAACAGCCAGTGTTTATGGCTATAATTTCAATTAAAGGATTTCTTCTAATCTTTGGCAGTAGTAGAGATGCACCTCCCATTTTTTTGCCATTTTCTTTTTTGACTCCCGTCAATTTAACACTGTTACCTTTTAATGTTTCTTCAACGACTTCAACCACTCTGTCTATCTGTTGTACACCAATGATACTTAGACCTCGAACAAAATCTGCTTTGGGAGCACCTTGTGGAACACATCCTGCCACCACAACATATTTTCCCAAGCTTTTAGCAAGATTAATTTCGTTTCTAAAAAGTTTAAGGAATGTTTAACATATTTCAACAATTATGAACTTTAACATAACATGCCTGAAATGATCTTCTGCAGGATTCTTAACTGTACAACTGTTTAGTAACCACAAATTAGCTTTAAACTTATCTTCAACTATTTTATAGCCATAAGCTGCCAACTGACCTGCCATATACTCTGAATCTGAACTATTGTGGGCACAGCCCCAGGTTTTTAGATAAATTTTTTGTGTCCCAGGAATATCACCTACAGGCTCTTCTGTTAAATTGGGACATTTAATGCTTTCAATCTGTTAAGATTTACGTAATTTGCCTTATTTTATAATATTTGTAAATATGCGAAACACTATATCTACCTGCGTTTTTTTTGGTTTAATTTTAACAGTTTTCAACGGTTTAAATCGTTCTTTCGGTATTATATCTTGTGCTGAAATAAGATCTTCTATATCGTTTATTATTTCACTGCACACGCCTATCTCGTTCATTTTTCTAATAATATAGATTGTTTTAAAACATTCTAAAATAATAATAAGTTTTCATTTTACTAATTACAAGTGTGAAAAAAGATAGGTTACACTTCTGATATCGCAAAGTTGTCAAAGTCGACAAAATTGACAAATCTTGTTATTAAAGTACACCACAACGGATCGCTTCTTTAAAAAAATAATTGTCATAAGTAAATGTCTTTGTATTCGTACTTTTTGTTATATTATTAATTTGATTATAATGAAGAGTTATGATTTTATATTTGTAGCAAAGATAAACGTATTTTGAGATTTAGAAAGTATTTTAATGTATTTTCGGGTAATTTGACCACTATTGTAATCAAACCATAAATGTCATGTGTCACGAAAGATTACCTTCATCA